CCAATCCCGATGGCAAACACCGGGGGGGGCGGCTTGTTTTACAACGTCGTTGCCAAGCGACGAAAACCCAACCCCGATGGCAATCACCGGGGGGGGGCCCAGGGGGGTGGGGGGGGGAGCTTGTTTACTGCTACAAAACTGTTGTGCGTCGATCAAATAACGAAGTATAGTGTGCAGGCGGATACATATACGACAAGCGGCAGGCGAAGTTGCAACCTTGCCAATCAACCGATCGTGTCGCACTCAACACATTACGTGACATCACATCACCCCTCGAGAAGGCAGCCGTGATCTCCCCCACACCTGGGCCGGCGCGAGGCTATGAAAGGGGGGAAATCAGACGGACGAAACTGCCGTCATTTTCGTGCCGCAGGCGGGGGGGGGGCGGGCTCACTTGCAACGGTAAGGTTTTCGGTCCCTTTTCGCCTTTTTGGCGTTCGGCTGCACGCTCGTGTTGGTGGAGGGGGAGCCCCCATCTTGGCCCAACGTTCTGTGTGGCCTCGGAGCTTGACGAGGCGGAGCAGTGGCCATCCTCCAATCGCGTGCCGCGGCGACTCCCCCGCCACCGCCGCTGCTGCTGCTGTCGCTTCTGTTGGCGTCGTCTCGCCCGTGGTCGCTGCGGTGCATGAACTGCCGCGGAAGCGCTCGGAGCGTTCTCAGCACCATGTCCCTAACCTTCTCGCGCGACTGTGGATGCAGCTGCCGCGGGACCTGGCCGTCTTGCTGGCACCTCTCCGCTATCGTCCTCAGCTGAAACAGGGGGGTCGCAACCCCCTCGTAACCGTCATCACCGCTTGGCATGGCTGCCGTCCGGTGCGGGTCGGGTGTATGGAACCCTAGCCCCCCGCCCGACGCGCTGGATCCCATGTGAGGCACGACCGGCCCGCCGCCCGCCTGCTGGGACGTCTGTAGCCAGCCGGAGAAGCTACTCTGCCGAGAGTGCCGTTGTTGCCCGTGTTCCCCTGTCACCGTCCCCTGCTATGTTTGTAGGAGGAGTGAATGGGAGGGTTACGGCAGCCAAGATACGGGAGGATCATCAAACAAAAGCCGTCGGGAAGAGAACGCGAGACCGAGTAAAGTACCATGGCGTTGTTTGGTACTCCCAAATAGGCCCGCACAGCATTTTTCGTTCTTGACGGGTTGTTAACCAATGCAGGACAACTACGCATGTAGCGGTACCTGTAGCGGGTTGTCCGCGTTGGCGTCGAAGCTCGGAGACCCCTCGATGCGCTGAAACGCTTGCGCGGCGGAAGCCCGTCCTTCAGTACTTGGACTGGGCGTGCGAGGGAGCGTGGGCGCCGCAACATACATCGGACTGCTGCTGCTCTGCCCTTGTACCGGACTGCTTGAACGGGCGCTAGTTGCATCGAAGCTGCTGGAAGCTCCGTGGCCGCGGGTCGCTTGGCGCCGGAGGCCCTCCTTGGCTTGAACGGCGGCGCCGGCACCACCCTCAAGCGGATCCCCCCCCCCTTGCGAAGGATCGTTTGGCGGGCTGCCGACCTCGAAGTCGCGATCGTGGCTGCGAAGGCGTTTCGACAGCGACGGCTGCTGCTGTTGTGGCGTGCCTGGAGACGGGGCGGGGCCCAGCATCGCCTGTCCATTTGAGAGAACCGGTACAGGTAGGCAATAAGCTAATGTAGAGTGTCCAGACATATCTGATGTTGTCGGAACCGTTAGACATCCTGCCTTACACAGGAATCTGACTCAGGTACTAGTTGAGTGGCGAGTTCGTCTCCTGACCTCTTGGGCATCTTTGTTTTGCTCTGGGCGTTACGGGTGTGAAGTTGGCCGCTCGAGTACGTGGCCTAGGGCAATACATAAATCGCGAGTACTCTGCGGTGGTTCAACAAACGTTTCTTGAAACTACGACCCCATGGAGGTTGCTTCTCCCGCGCGACGTCGGCGATACGGGGTTGGTTGGTACACAACGCTGGTCTACCCCCCCCTAAACGCAGTGGGGAGTCGCCACGGTACCAAAGCTGAATAAGATTAATGAATCTCTTGACAATCGGAGAGGAAAATCGCGGAACCACCCCTTCCGCCGGCAAGATCACCCGCGAGGCATGTTTTCAAAGATGATATTTCCGAACGGCTAGAGGTAAATGAGCCCCTCCCTCTCGTCCGGCCCCTCCCGACCTGCTGTACTTTTCTGCAACGCCACAGAACCCGTCCGTCTCCTCATTCCTCTTACACTCTCTGGCATCGTTGCGCTACCCTCCGCCAGCTCCGGGGTTCTCAGGGAGGAGCGGCCGTAGTTGTCGCTGCTCTCCAACGGCGGTTCTTCTTCTTCTTCTACTTTGTTGTCGTGGTTGGCTTTGTCGTTGCCCTTGCTGCTGCTGTCACGGGTCGGTCCGACGTCGTCGTGTGTCCCCGACGCATCTGCCAGAAGCACGCGTGGGGTCGCCGTGAGCTCAGTTGCTGTCGGTACTGGGCCTGCTGCCTTGCCCTCATTTTTCTCTGGCGACGGAGCCTCGTCCACGGCTTTGATTTGCCGCTCCTCTTGCTTGTCTTGGCCGTCCTCGGACAGAGCACTACTTGTGCTTGCAGCAGTCTCGCCTGACGAAGGTGGCGGCGGCGGTGGCGACGACGCGGGTACGACGCCGGAAGGCGATGGCGACGGTCGTCCTGTAACGCTACCGGAGCAGGTTTCGCTAGCAAAGCTTTCCTCGGGGAGCGCTGGAGAAGACCAAGCTGGCCGTATGTCCTTCTGCTTTTCGTCTCCACGGGAGACTGCTGCTCCGACACGATCACGTCGACATCGTCAAACGGTTCAAGCCAAGCAATGTGCAGTGCAACATAAACGCTCAGCTGGGGCGACGCTTACGCTCTGCCAGACTGACTCAAAGCGATGTAGCCCAAGGTCTTCCGCCACCCGTCAACCCCAAAAGCAGGATGTAAAAAAGGCCGGTCTTCAGCTATACTGACTGTGAGGAGAAACAGGGTTCTAAGGGCACACTTCCTCGGGTCACTTTTCAGGTGGCAAAACACGGTCGGAGATGATAGATACATCTCGTCATCGCCATCCAGTGAGCCCGCTAACTTGGGGACCAACCGCTTTCTGTAATAGTAAGTCCACACATGGACCATCGCGGGTCCGTTTCTTGTATTCGAACTAGGAGGGTCTACCCCACCACATAATGTGTCGCTTGGGTCATGTGTCATGTTCGTTTGAAAAGGAGGGGCAAAATAATGTCTTCAATCACCCACATACTCCCATACCTGGAGAACGTTGGCATGTGATCGCCTCGCTGTCTGTCGAGGAGGACGATATTGTGGAGTCCCTAGATTTACCTTTGTCCGTGTTTCTTGTGCTCCTTCCGAGGCTATCTGCTCCCCTCGTCCTTTGCTCTTTTGATTCCTTTGTCACACTTGTGTTCGGTACGTTTCCTATCGTGTCAGATGTGTCGGCTGCCCTTGTTCTTGTCCGTGCATCGGCGCGCCCCTCCTGCTTCACCTTGTAGATCGGGATTCGTTCGACGAGTCATCCATCCACAACAAAAACCGCAGAGAGGTGTACAAGGAGGACGAAGGGTCATCCTTAAATGTGAAATGAGGAGAGCAATGATGGAACTCGATCTTGAACTCCCACCTTTGCGTCTCGTCTAGGGGTGGGATGGTCCTCATTTGTGGCCGTGCATTTTCCCATACGGTTTCCGCTTAGGTTTGAGAGATATTGTTCAAGAAAAAGTACGGATGAAAGTCTACTAGCCCTTAAACTGTAGCCGCTACCGCTGTATAAACTATCACTCATGGCTGTGGTACCGTGCCGCCATGTGCTTCAACCTCCATATTTATTTCTGGTGTGGCATGCGTGAACCCTTTTTGCCTTTGGCCCTTCGCTTGCTGAATGATATGTTCCCGTTTGCCATCGTATCGTACGTATTCAAGTTCTCATCGCCAAGGTCCAGAAACGTTGGCCCCAACAAAATTAACACACTAGGTACGTAGCTACAGAGCGGACCGTACCTTCTTCTTCATATTTGTGGAAGCGACCGTCGGTTCTTTAGAAACGCCGGGCAAGCACTGGCCTGTAGCCAGCTTCGTGTCGCCGTCTCGCTCTTACCCAGGACGGCGGCTCTCCCCCAGACCACCATACACCAGCTAAGACGAAGTATATAACGAGGTAGAATCGCAAATCAGCGCTCCAGACGTCCCCGTCAAACCACCCCAGCAGCAGCACGCACCGTGACCTTTTCGCGGCAACCACGACACGCGAGAGATGGCGAAAGCCTCAACAAAACATCGACGCACCCAAGGATACATCCCTTACAGCACACACCCTGTTCCGTGGTGTCTTGTGCACGGGGTACAAAATCGTCATTCACGGTGAGCACTTGAATCCACTCAAACTACGAACGGCAAAGGGCGCAGGGAAATTCACGAAGGAACTAGGGTGCACACGTACCATATAGTCTAGACTATGCCTTTTAATTTATTGTGCATCCGATTGGAAAACAGGGCGCCCTTGGTGGACAACTCTGTGCTCGCTGCGTGATTGTGTGTTCAAAAGTTAATACGCGACATCAACAGCAGCTCTTCTTCACTGTGACATTTACAGTATCACACTGAGCCCGACAGGGCGCACATACTGCTGTCGCTACGGGCGTGTTGCTTACCTTGTTCCAGGTCGTCTCTGAACGTGACCGTCTTCTTTCGTTTACGACGTATGATGGGTGATTGTTGCTCGGAGAGGTGTAGAGAGGTTGAGATCCGGAAAGGTTGATCAAGATAGAAAGCTGACACGTACAGAGGGCGTGGACACTGATCACCATCTTAAACCCCGACCAGTAATCAGGACCACTCTAACTATTTGATGCGTATGGACGCGACGAGACCCCAACCGATTTGATTGCCGAGACGAACCGCAACATATGGTTTCACCCTTATCTTCAAAATTCCTCCGCATAAAAAAAAAAAATCACCGCCCCCGCGTGCCTGCTGTGCGCCATCCTTCTTGTGCGACTACTGCTGTGCCGCTCTGTTGCTCTCCCTCTCTTCCTCCTGCTCTTTGGGTTGATTCTCACTTTCCACAGCTAAATAATGGCGACCGACCCCCCCGCGGGCGCGGTGTGCGATCCACAGGGTGTTTGCCGAATGCCAGCGCGGGGCGACACTGGCAGCGGCGTTGAGGCTAGTCTCATCCCCCTCCCGAAGGCATTGCGGCCGTTGAGTGTTCTCGAAGACGAGGCTGGGCACAAGCTGTCTCCCGCTGGAGTGTTCAAGGGAAAGGTAAGAGAGGGAGCTGAGGGAGCTCCACCACTTATTTTCTACGTTGGAGCTTCAGGAACAACATAGCTACGTACCACAGCTGGTGCCATATACCCTGCAACACGTGTACTGCTCAGAGTGTTTGGACCGCGCCCCGCTCTAAGTGTTCGGAGGAGTTATTGAATTATTGTCTTCGACGAGTGGAGCTCGTCGACTAATTTTGGTACGGAAACAAGGAGCAGCTGTAGGAAGGCCAATCGATTTCCTGCAACAGCCGTGGACCTGTCTGTGCATAGGCAGCAAGGACTTGTCACAACGGTTGTGTGAGCTCTTCAGCCAAGAGAACAAATCAACTACTGCTGTTGTCAGTGCATGGTACCAGAGAGAGGAAAGGAGAGAGTCCAGAGATGGAGAGCCACACCGCTCCGCGATAGGAAGACAATTCTATGGGAAACAAGGCAAGAAACGGGGTAACTATCACGTTAGCCCGAGTGTTCGCAAGGAAATAGCAAAAAATAAAGCAAAAAAAAGAGGGGAAGATGGAGGAAACGGAGGGGTCGGGCGGCGAGTAGGCTAGCTAAGAGAGCAGCGCGCGCAGCGCGAAAGAGACAGCAGGGTCAACTTCTTAGGGTAGCAACCTGGAATGTGCGGACTTTGGCTGTTAACGGGGCCGATGANGAAACAAGGCAAGAAACGGGGTAACTATCACGTTAGCCCGAGTGTTCGCAAGGAAATAGCAAAAAATAAAGCAAAAAAAAGAGGGGAAGATGGAGGAAACGGAGGGGTCGGGCGGCGCGTAGGCTAGCTAAGAGAGCAGCGCGCGCCGCGCGAAAGAGACAGCAGGGTCAACTTCTTAGGGTAGCAACCTGGAATGTGCGGACTTTGGCTGTAAACGGGGCCAATGGATACGGGCGAGCTTACAGCGTTCTACACGAGGCAGCGAGACAAGACGTATCGGTGGTAGGAATGCAGGAGACACGGAGGGCAGGTCGAACGGAATTTGCAGCAGCGGGTTTCCGGGTGTTCTGCTGTGGCACGGAGACTGGTGGAGTCCATGGTGTGGGGATAGCCGTCAAAGAGTCACTGTGCAAGACATCCACGTTCACTACGGAGTTTATCGACGAACGCCTTATGGCCATGAGGTTTCTGTTGGCAGGCCACCGTGGAGCGGTCAACTTCGTAGCCGCGTATGCTCTAACCGAACCTTCAACCGCCGACAGCGAACGCGTGTTCTGGGGAAAACTTGACAGTCTCGTGCGGAGGATCCCTTCCAAAGAATGTGTGCATGTCCTACTGGACGCCAACGCGCGGACGGGAGATAGGTTGGACGGAGGGGACGGAAGGGTAATAGGAATGTATGGGCGTGATGAGCTCAACGACAATGGCATGCTACTGTTGAATTTCGCAACGGAAAACAGGCTAGCTCTCACGAACACGTGTTTTGAGACACGCAAGGGCGGAATATGGCACACATACAACGGTGCGTCGGGAAACGATTGCAAGCGCCTTGACTACATCCTGACAAGGCAGGCACATCACGGCCTAGTATCTAACGCGGTCGTCATCCCCCAGCCGGTTCGCCCAGTCAAAGCAGACTCAAACCACAATATGGTAGTAGCCACCGTCAACCTCGGTGGCAGGCTTGCCCACAACCGTGCAGTCCGGACTAAACCGAAACAGAAGCAATTCAACCGACGGGAATTGCAGTACGAAGCAGCACGGTGTGCGGTGACTAATCGGTTCCTCCTCAACCTCGACACACGACTGGGCGAGCGAACAACTACCGCCGCGGAATTGGCGACCGACTTTACCAATGCTCTCCTCGAAGCAGCGCGGACGATCCTGGGGGAGAACCCGCGGAGACGCCACACGCAGGAGTGGTGTGAGACCCCAGAGACGCGAGCAGCGCTGGAGCAGGCCCTTACCAAACGTCTGGAAACGCGCCGGGCGATGAGGGGCAACAGGAACTCAGCGACGTGGAGGGTTCTCAAAGCAGCGTGTAGCTACCGCAGTCGGAAACGGGCATTTATGCGCCACCTGGACGGATATGTGACTGAGCTCGAAGAAATCTACAGAGATCGCGACATGTGAGGACTGTACCAACACCTCAAGAGATCAGTGGGCCTCAGCGGGAGACAAGCGGGGGACAGCAGTTCGTCGCGGATGACAACAGCGTGTTGCTCCGGAACAGGGATGATATCCTCCAGCGGTGGGCGAGATTCTTCAGCACCCTACTCACCAAATCCCCCACCCTGAACCCACACATCATCGAGCGAGTGACGCAGCGGCCAGCGACACGTGACACTCACCGGTTGGGGGATGTGCCAGAACTCGAGGAGGTGGCACGGGCAACGAAAGGCCTCAAGAACTGGAAGGCACTCGGCCATGACTCCCTCCCTGCCGAGTTGCTCAAGATCGATGACGACGAACCCTTCGTCCTGGGACACCTCCATACCATCCTCGTCAAGGTGTGGAACGGAGGAGGTATTCCGCGAGAGTGGAAGGATGCAACCATCAAGGTGCTGTACAAGAAGGGTGAGCGGTCCAACTGTAACAACTACAGAGGGATTTCGCTACTATCGCACGTAGGCAAGGTCCCCATCAAGATCATCACCAACCGTCTCAGCGCCTTCTGCGAAGCCAACAACATCCTCCCGGAGGAACAGTGCGGATTTCGACCCGGGCGATCCACCGTCGACATGCTGTTCGTCGTGCGCCGCCTCCAGGAGCTGGGGCGGAGAAAGAAAATACCGCTCTACATGTGCTTCGTCGACTTGAAGAAGGCGTATGATTCGGCGGACCGAGAGATACTATGGAAGGTGCTGACCAGGGCCGGAATTCCCGCGAAGCTGATCGAAGTCATCCGCCAATTCCACGATGGAATGCGGGCCCGGGTGCGCATGGACGACGGAGAACTATCGGACTGGTTCTTCGTGACACAGGGCGTGCGACAAGGATGTGTGCTATCCCCACTGCTGTTCAACATCTTCTTCGCCGAGGTCCTCGAGGTCGTTGTCATCCGATTCAGCGAGGATGATGTTGTTCTGCGGAGCCTGGTGTGCTTGGAGGAGGGGAAGACAGAAGCGGGGGGAGGGGAGGAGACACCTCTTGACCGAGTACGGAGCGCAGTATGGGGGATGCTGTATGCCAATGATGCCGGCGTCGTATCGAGGTCTGCAGAAGGACTGGCAAGAATGATGACCATCATCGTTGAGGTGTTCGGGGAGTTCGGGCTAACGGTGTCGGAGAAGAAGACGGAGACGCT